GAACGGAAGACCATTACAGTATTGGATAGTTGGAGAGCGTGATCAGGCTTCCTTAAATATCCCCACTTTCATTATCCTTCACAAATTTTGCCATGTCTGGGACTGCTCGTTCCGTCCAATATCGAGCGAGCGGTTGGTTCTGTTGGAATCGATTAAGTTCTTATAATATTTTGAAAATTATTGTAGGACTAATACTCTTTGGAAGCAATCAAATACTGAAACTGCCGAAGTACTTCACCTACTTGCTCTTTGTGCCTATGCAAGCAAACCATCATTCTGCTCTGGAAAACTTTGATTTCACCAAGAGAGCTGCATTTTGTGATGTGGTTTAGGCATGTTTTGTGATAGCAGCTTCAATCGCTTCGGCATTAGCACCATTGACAACATCAACCTTTTCACCGTTCTTGAAATAATGGAATGAAGGTACAGAGCGTACTCCCTCGCGTTTCATTAGCTTTGAGGCGTCAGGAGAAGCGTCGCCGATGACCTGTAAATGAAACACGTTAGAGCCGAAATAACGAAACACAGATACAAACATGTTTTCTCCTCATTAATGGCATACCTTGAGAAAGACAGCATCCGCGTACTTTTCGCTCAATTCATCGAACTTGGGAGCGATAACTTTACAAGGGCCACACCAGGTTGTGGAATAATCAACTACAACGAGGGAAGATCCAGCACTACTGATGGTGTTGTCAAAAGCTGTCTCTCCGTCGATGTCCACAACAGCCATGACATTTGTTCTGTGCCTGGGCGAGGTGGTCACGGGGGAAAATGCATCTGATAAGCAAAGTGCGAGCGCAGATACAAGAAGAATGGAATAGCGAGCAATCATCGTTCGGCTGAGATTATTGATGTGATTGTTCGTCAGCGGTTTGTTGATGTTGTTGAAGAGAAATGATTCCTTCGTCCAGTCTGTGTCCGACCGCGTGCGACCGATGACAGACACGAAATCATTTGAGTCAATCGAGCCAGCTCGGTTTCAACCGTTGAAAGAGTATTTCTCAACAATGCAATGATCACGTTCTTGTCAAAATTCCGACGCCATGGCGGCGACTCTCGAATCTACCTCGAGCACAAGCTTAAACTCTTTCTCCCCTATATCTACTCTAGAGCGCCAAGGGCTACAGCCTTGGGGGCAGCGTTTAGTGGTTGCTGTCCAAGTGAATTCTGCTTGTTGTGTGGAGGGAGGTGTGGAATCGATTTTGCGTCTAAAACAAGGAGACACCCTATCAACCCAGTCACCTTCCCCTGCAGCAAACTTCGACGAAAATCCAAGCGACGACTTCGATGCGTTCGCATTCTTGCATGAGATTGGAGAGAAAAAAGGGAAGGAAGAAGCAGCATTGGCCAATGATACTGGTAACAAGCAGGGGTTTGGAGGTTTCTTCCGAAAGGTTGCAGCATCAGCTTCTACAACCCTAGAAAGGCAGATGCAGGGGCTTGCAGTACGAATTGATCAGGGAAGAAATCCAGATCTACTGCGAGTCGCGATGTATGATCAGCAGACGAACGAACTGCTAGACGTAACCGAAGCTGTGCCAGTTCCAAGCGAAAGAATTAACATTCGATTTGAGGTCCCGCTGACACTTCCTGCTGTTCTTCGGCAGCGACAAGTGCTTTTGAAATTGTGGATCCAATCTGGCGCAGCGTTGCTACAGAGCACCAAGGCGGCAAAGAACTATCTGATCGCAATGGCAAGTGTAGATTGCTCAAAGATTGCTCTTGGAGTCCAAAGGATCCCTTTAACATCGAAGCTCGTCGTTGGAGGGGAATTAGAACTCTGTGCCATGCCTGACCCAAAATTCGCTTCGCCCGATGGCGATCGCAGTTGGAGTCTTACAGACCCGGACACGAATGCTTACTCAAAAGGCCTGAACCATTTACCACTAGATAAATCATTCTGTTACAGAGGAAATCAGCCATCACAGTGGCTTCTGGCAACCGAAAGAGCCACTGAGTCATCGGTGGTGCTCCCTGTTGCTGCATGTGTGATGGATCTTGCTGCAAGAGCAAGTCTCAAGTCTCTTCATCATGCTCAATCCGTTGCGAAAACTCTACGGGCCAATCGACATGATTTCAAAGATGTATCGAAGAGCACTTGCTCATTAGGAATCGCTGGAGTAGTTACCAACACTACTTCAGCGCGATTTGGGAACATATCAGTGAATTGGCGTCGGCCGGACTCTATGTTTGAACTCGAGCTTTTGGCCAATGGCGTGATTCCGATATCTGGTGAGGGTGATCCCGCAACATCGCCTCAACTTAATATTCAATTTCATCCAAAGCTTTGTACTGAGGATATATTGCCCGGTGTTCTCAATGCGTTCGGGGGCAAGATCCCTCCCAGTGGATATCTGCTTGGAAGTCTTTTCTTCTCCTTAAGTGTCCAATCAAATGAGTATGTTGAGATTTGGGAAGCATCAACCGCTATTGAAAGCTACGTCAACAATCAAAACACCTTCTTCAAGGTTCCGCTCGTGAAGAATGGAGTTGCGATGGGAAGTCTACTTCTCCATCTCCAGGTGACATTGCCTACAGAGAAACCCAAATTTGCCAGTATTCCGTCCAACGATGGGTTGGTGTCACTTGTTGGACTTCAAAATTTGGCAGATGGAGTTATTCCTCTGATGGACGCGGACTCAAGTGCCGTACCAAAAAGTGGTTCTCTTCGCCACCAGCAATTGGCAACTATGGGATATTTCTTCACGGTGCAATACATAGAACAGCATCTCAGTCTCCGTCAATCTGCTACGGAATCATTCCAAGACAGAGCACGTGCTTACAAGCAAGCACTTATACAACCAGAAAATGTGCATCCTCATGAAGTTAGATCGCCGAAAGCATTTCGACCAAGCTCTAGTCGCCAAACCAGTCTCTTGAGTGCAATTCCATTCAATGTGCACGTTTCTAAATTGAACATCACCGTTGTCGATTCGTTGTCCACAGGAAGCACGTATTCAGGCGCTTCCTTCCATAATATTACTCACGGAGCACCCTCAGACCATGCTCGAGGTTTTGGCAATATCCTTACTGGAATCAGCAATACCAATGCATCAGGAGGTTTGAGGAGATTGGAGAAAAAACGGGTAGAGTGTGCTGATGCACTCCAGAAGGCACAGAATTTGTTGATTGCAGCTGTTGGAAACTACCTCGCCAATGCCCGGAAGACTAGCCAGGTTAACCACGTGCCTGCGAGACATGCCGAGATACAAGGGTTGAGATGGAAAGTGTTCGAATGTGTACACAATCTACACCACGTCACTTGGATGTGTGCAGTTCGTCGTGCCAATGTATTTTCTCAGTCACTTGGTCTTGCTGTGTCTAGTTACTTGACAAGCATTAGCGACAAAGAAAAGTGTACTGCTGGTTGGCCTGATGTCTGGCAACGACATGGATACTTGGTTTGCTTTGAGGGACTGCTAAGTGCTGCAGGTAAAGAACTTGGAATGATTGAAGATGCGAGGTACGAATCTACTCTTGAGTGAACTTTCAATTTTCTTTCGGCTCGTCTTCTTCTTACGCTTGATTGCCGTTGTAGCGTTGCCATTGCCATGCTACGGATGGTCAGAATTGTCATCATGCCTGACTGTAAGTTGTGAAAAATCGAGACTTTCTTCTTGATCAAATTGGAACGAGGCGTGCTCACTATTTTGGTTTCAAGCTGGAATCCCGAGCAAAGCAGTTGGCGTGCAAGGTTCCGGTCACCTCAAGTGGGTCCATTTGTTTTCTTCTGGTCAAAGCTCTCACCGCCAGTACCTTTTGCAGGTTGGCGTAGATCCGTCCTACTACCAGGACCGAATTCCAGCTTGTTTGAAAAATGGCACAGCCGTTCAACTGTATCCACTACTCTTTCAGGTTGGTGTTGACATTCGACAATGGGGAGCACATGCAGGTTCAAATCTAATGAAGAACGGAAAGCAAGAGATCAGTAGTGGACTAGTCGATGACGAAGATGACGACATCGGAGTGGTCGACGATGATGTCTTAGTTGCCTTGAACTTTGAGGCACTTCGGAAGGTAGGTGAACCTGTGGTAACAATGGTTTCGATCTATTGATTTCTAACTTCTTGCCTTTTAGATGAATGCATATGCACATGCCATCAACCCGCAGAATATTCTTCTCGACAAGATACAGGAAACGATGACTTTGGTTTTTGAACAGAAACACGGAGCTTCTGCTGCAAATGAAGGCGAGCAAATTCTACCAGTTCATCCTTCTCTTTCGCTACTCCACTCGCACATAATGGGTTCAGCAGGAAAAATGAACCATGCAATTCTTGACGAAGCTGCAACTCTGGCTCAGCAAATGGGTGGTGGTGGCTTGGTGTTTTGTAAATCTGGAAAGGATAGAACTGCTATGCATGTGACCTATAAGCAGGCCCAATTTTCAAACCGATATCGAAATCTGCACCATGGAGAAGCAACACTCCAGGATGCAACTTTAATGAGGATTTATGGTGTCAGGTAAGCGCTTTACATTTCGTGTCTCTCCGATGTTGTGTATAATTGGCCTCAGTTCTTGTCGTTTTCGTGTTCTTAGGTTGCCAATTTGTGAGAAGAATGTTGGACAGGCCAAGTTTGCATTCAACGCATTGCAAGTTAAGTTTATGCCTGAAGCCTTGAAACCCCCGATGTCAGTACTAAAAGGTTTCAAATTATTCGGAGAAGGGACAATTGAGAGCTAAAAGATTGCAGAGTACCTACGACATTTGAGTTTTGCAACTATAAAATAGACGAGAACTCCCAACCCACAGGCCATGTGAAATTTCCGTAACGTAGAGTAGTTGGTGTCACTATTTCAGGGAGGTTAGTCTGAATGATTCATTTGAATCACTACATCCGTCCTCCTGGAATGTCCATGGAGGACTTTGTCAGATATAATTCCGTTACAAGCGTCAACGCATTAGAGCCGGGTGCCTGGTTTTGCCTTCTGAGGACAGCAGTCGTTGCAACTGACTTTGCAATCTTGTCTCGTCCATTTCTCAATCCATCCAGGCACTTCTTTCGATGATATCGTAACTTAGCATTCTCCTGTTCCAGAAGAACTACTTGTTCCCCCAACCCCACGAACTTTGAATGCAGCCCTTCAGAATCCTGAACTACTTTTTCATGATGGACACGAACCTTATGAAGCTCTCTCTTCGCTCTTGATCGAAAGCGAACAAAGACTGCATTCATCTTTTCTTTGTCTTCTGCTAGAACAAGTTTGCGATCAGTCCGATCACAGAATCCGTTGCGCAACAAGGACTCCCGAGAGAGATCCCCTCTCTTTTTCGAGACATTTTCCAACTGGTTTGCAATCGCTTTCTTCTCATTTTCACTATTCAAGAAGTTGGTTGTGCAATTGCGAAGTCTCATCTGAAGTTCCTGGTTTTCGTTTTGCAGACTCACAATTTCCCCCTGTTCCTCTGTTTTTGATTTCTCCAAAGATTCCAGAAGCTGAAGATTGTAACTCTCAAGGTTTGCTTTTTCTGTTTGCAGTACGGCTGTTGACTTTTCCAGACGACGAAATTCGATTGAAGCTTCCTCCCTTTCTCGATCTGCGAAGCCTTGTATTGCTTTCTCAGAACCGAGTTCGTGTTTGAGAGCCGAAATCATAGTCTGGCTGTCTCTATACATTTGTTCGTATCTATCACGCTCCTCCTTCAACTCTTGGACGGATAACTTCATTTGCATCAGAATCTCTCTCTCTGTATACGACTCTTGGTTCTCCAAGATCCTATCCTGGCAGAGTCGCTCACGTTCCTGCTCTAGCTCTTCTATTCTTGACAGCAGCTCTTCTCGCGAAATCTCTAAGAGCCTCGAATTGTCTTGAACCTTTCGCAGTGCTGTGTCCCGATCTATCAAAGCGGCACTCAACTGTGCACACTCAGTCGTCAAATTCTCCAAGTGTTTCTTTAACATTATGATTTCTTTCCCCTCGTGACTATACAATTCTTTGATTTTCGATTTCTCTTTCTCAACAACCTCGAGCGATGATCTCATTGCTTCAGTCTGATTCATCAGCCCTCGCAGTTCTTGATCTTTTCCTTCAAGTACGACCATCAGCTCAAGCTTCTCTTTTCGTAAGTCTTCCAGATCTCTATCGGTCCGTTGTTTTTCATCAGTGAAATCACCGATGATTTTTTCATTGTTTCTAAGCTTTACTTTCAGGCTATCCTGCTCTCCCTTCATCTCTTCCATTGCAAGGTTCAGGTTGTACCGCTGCGATTCGTCAAGTCTCTTTGTGTTCTCAGATATTTCAAGAGAATGGCGCAATACCTCAAATCTTTCGCGAAACTTCTCTTGTTCGTTCAAAAAAAAGATACGTTCCTTTCGCAGCAAGTCGACATCATCAAGTGCTTGAGAAAGCTCATTTCGGCATCCAAGAACCTTTTTTTTCAGATCAGCTTGGGAAGAAATGGCCTCCTCTGCTATCTTCTCAACGTGACCTTTTGCTTCAAGAACTTGATCGAGTTGGCATTGGAGACGCTGCAGATCTTCCTCATGTTTCTTGTTTTCTGAAACATGACAGTTCAAGGCTTCATTTTTCAGCACGCCCGCTTCATTCGTCAGCTCGCTCGGCGCTTCAACGGTGTTTTCGGAAGCCTTGCGATGGTCCAGATGCCATTCATCTGTTTCAATATGGGGCATGGAGCCATTCTCTAGCATTTCTTTATCGCTATTGACGACGAGGGTAGAGGATGCAAACGTTGTGTTGCATCCATCACCAGTCATACATGTAGACCCCAATGTAGAGGTACTAGACTCATCAAGGGAAGCAACGTAGTCGGATTCCTCGTAGGATGGGACCATTCTATCACAAATCTCAAAATCAAGTCCACATGTTTGCGAAGGGGTTTCCTCGCTCTCATTTAAGCTTGGCATATCCCGTCGATGATCCCCTGTCGGCTCTCTAGTCGCAGTATAGTCTTCGAGCAGGAGATCTCCATCTGTCATGTTTTCGTTGATGCCTGCCTTGTCATGTTTATCTCCTGAATGCGAGACAAACCATTCTGGTGAATAATCTTTGTGTTGACAAGGAGGAGTTTGGTCGCTTCTTGGCGACTGATTGGGAATAGGTTCTCCGACTTCGTCTTGAAGATCATTTTCTTTTAAGTTCGCATCCAGCATGTGCTCAAAAGGTCTCTTTCCCAAACTTTCCTCGTGCTCGACTTTGCCATTATTGGGCCGAAGGATATGTCCATCACTATTATTTTCTTGCGATAATTCTTCCACTGGAAACTTGTCAAATGAATCATTTTTGTGTTCCATAATCCCTGGGTTCGATGAAAACCTTCCTTTTCGCCCGTAGAGCTCCCCGGTCTCATGAGCTGAGTTGATGAGGTTCAACTTTTTCTCTCCAACAGAGCGCTCTTCGATGAACGCTCGGCTTGTTTCATTGTCTACGCCGCTTTCGTCAGCGTAGTCCATATAGTCGATTGGTTGATAATCATCTTTCGAAGGCGCATAATTGATTTCTGGGAAGCCATGCGCAGGTGAAGACTGCTTGAAGAGTCTTGCTAGACGTTGTCGAGGGTCCGCCACAATTTGTTCCAACAAATCCGGACTGCAGGCATACTCGTAAAGACCACCCCCCTGAGCATGCTCACTCGGGTCTATGACTAGGGACTCATTGACTGCATCGTTGTTTCTGAAGGGGCTTGATACTATCTCCCCCGGCTTGACAAGGAGGCGACGCAAATAATTCAGCGTCCCGAGTGTCATCTCATAATCCTTTGATAACTGAGAAACAAATCCCAAAACGACGACCTTCGAACACTCTAGTCTTCTCTGCAGTACGTGGGTTAAAGTACTCTCGCGCCAAGAAATCACCGGCTCTGTACCCGCGCTAGCATGAAGAAGAAGCTGACGGAGCGCTCTCCCAAGACTTACAATACCTTGACGTCGTAATACACTGTTCTCACTACCGACACCACTCTGGCCACGGAACGTTGCCATCTCCACGCATGTAATTTGAGAGTCAGGCGATTTCTCAAGCTCAAATGATATTGCGTTGTTCCAAAAGTTTATAGTCCCAATTATTGTCGAGCTCGGATCTTTCCGTCGTGCAACAGCGTCCATCACTCCAGACATCACGTCTAACGGAACCTGAGTTAAGTTTTCGAATATTGCTCCCTGCACGGTTAAAACAAACAGATGTTAATCAATTGAATTTGTCAACGAATCAAAGAGCAATCTGCAAGGATGCACTTAACTTCATATCAACATGCCTGACTTCAATATTTCCAGCATCGCTCTTCTCACTACCGGTACACGTACCACAAAGCAGATCACGAAAATTATCGCGTTCATCCAAAATTTCGACAAAACTAATGGTACAGACCATCTTCTCCTCCATCAAACCCTGACAGTGGGCTATAACTCGTGTCCACAAACCTTCATCACTTCCTTCACCATCAAACTGTGCTCCAAGACTAATGATGACCGATGATTGCAGCTCGACCATGGCATCTTGAGCAATTGCACGGCTCAAAGAATCTACGGAGCTTTGATCGTTGCTCGAATCGAAGGATACCGAAGAGCCCATGGTAGGCCAAACAACGTGATGCAAATTGTAGAGTCGCGCCCAGTCTGAAGTGTCCGTCGCCTTCGAAACCAATCTCGCCGTTTCCAAGGTTACATGGCTCGGAATGTGCTTTCCAAAAGCTGAAGGATTGACTACCACTACGTTCTGAGAGAGACTTGCACTTTCAGATTTCATCTGTGGAAACACGCATCTTTGTTCATTATCATTGTCCCCTAGTGGCAGCACTTTGACGACACACGTGACCTTCCGACATGGTTGCAGTGACACGTATTGTAAATATTCACCTCGCGTGTCACTCTGCTTCAGAAGAGGCGAAAATGGAGAAAGCAATCCGTTCAAGAAACTTCGATACTCTGTCGGAAGAGGACTCAATAATAGGCTTGCTGGACTGCTGTATATTTCAGGGGATTTGGAGGAACTCAAGGGGCCACTTTTGTCATTGGCAACCTCCTCTTGCTCCTTGTTGACCGCAGGGGATATGGCAATATCCAAGGGCTCATCATCATCATCATCTTCCGCAGCCTCCTGCAAATAATACTTGTAAGAGCGAGATGGTGTTTGCAGTAGATTTTGCCCCATGTTTGAGGTTTATCGAAGCTGACCTGGTGATTTTATATTCATTTCGCTCGAGTTGGTTTCAAAAAATATGGGTCACGAATGATGAGTCACGAATTAGCATCATCTGCAAAAGTGGCCCGTCTTCCTTTCCCAGGGCAGCTTTGCAGTACAGGAACGGCCGGGAAATAGAAATTTAGCATACAATTCTTGGGAGTAAATATTGATTTTCCCGGCCGTCCCAGTACTACTTTGTGCGTGTGCATGCGAATTTGGGATGGTGGGATTCGGTGTTCGGGTGTCAGATATTAAAGCTACAAATTTAGTTAACGTTTTCGTGTCACATCCTTTGGAACCTTAATTGAAATATGACCCAAGCAAAACTTCGTCGTTTTTGCTCCGACTCAGTCGACTAGTGGACTCAGTCGACTCCGGCACGTTATGTCTTTGCAGAAACATTTATACTGTACTGTAGCTCTCTTATTATGTACTGGTACGTGTACCTGGTACCACTCATACAAAAATTCCAAATTACCGTTAATTGGACCAGAGAGTGTCCGTCATTCGTACGTTTAGATAGAGATTCGCACACATCTTGTAAAATCCCCATGTTTGTTCTCGTACTCGTTTCGTACCGAATCTCTCGTACCCCGCTACTCAATATAACTCTTTATGTTTGGCGTCGTCCTTGTCAACGTAAAGATGGTTCGAAGTATTATGAGTATATTTTAGTTTATACTGATGACGTCATTGCAATCTTGGAGAATCCAAAAGCGATTATGGACAGCCAAACTCAAAAGTTTCTTTGTTTTAAAACCTGAATCGATAAAAGAGCCAACCACATATCTTGGTGCAACAATCTCGAAGCACAAGTTGGATGGTGATGATTATTTCACGCGGGCTATTGGATCTGAATGTTGGAAATCGGTTCTGGCGGACATCAGACTGCTTGTCTTCGTCCAAACCGATTGACAACGTTGTGGCCCATCAAGCCATAATTGCCAACCAGCCGTGCCAGCATGCGACCCATCATGCAGAGGCACCGTCCATAGCGATCTCCGATCCGCCTAATAGGAAATAATCATCTCTACAGGAACACACGAGGAGATAGTGTTTTTCGCGTTTTTTGCGCGCGTTGAAATTGTGGCAAAACAAATGATGTCAGGATGCTTGGAGGCGCCAACTTTATTCCGATGAAATACCCGATCACTTTGGAGACGCCAAAAATGATGATTTCATTTCAAAGACGCACATCTGGGTTCAAGCACGCAAATCGAGTTTTCAAGCACGCACATCCGGGTTCAAGCACACATTCAAAGACGCATATCCGGGTTCTAGCACGCATAGAAGATCCAACACCCCCCTCAAGGGGTATCCCAGCTGAAATCAGTGCACGTGGTCGCGCAAGTCAAAATTCACGATTTCTTATTCTCTTCAATGTCAGATCACAAAACTTCAGGAAACGAAGAGAAAAAAGCATCATGACAACTTCAGGAAACGAAGAGAAAAAAGCGATATTACCTCTGACATCCAGAGCATGATGATTAGGGAAATTCCTGACCTTAGGATCACTCATTGTTATAGTACAAACAAGCCGCCGTCGATGTGCTGGAAGGGATGAAAGGTCTTGTCTTTGAGCGACCCAGACAAAAGCTTACTGACACGTTTGTCGAGTCATACCCACATATCCATGTGGCGATCGTGTGCTATTTGTGGTTGAATTACCCAGAGACATTACAAGAAATAATATCACATTGCCAACTGCCAACAAGGTGAAGCCACATGGGCGGCCCAGGCTCCAACAGCACATGATAGTAAGATTAGAACTGAAGCAGATGAAGAAACTTACGGTTCGCCAACAATCGACTGTCGTCGCTGCTGAAACGAGCAGGCTGGATGCTCAAGTCAGTGCTGCCAGCAAGGGCAATAGTACAATTGTATTTGCAACATACACTGGCTTCGCAAATCATCATATGAGCGCTGTAGTCCAGTGTGTCGAGTGAAAAGAATGTGGAATGGATTGCTTTAAGCCGATCGAGAATCGTCTGAGATTCCAAGGCGACGCAGCTGATGAAGGAAAAGTGTTGCCAGCAAGTGGAATAAGGTGGTGTTCTTGTAATCTTCTTGTTATTGGCTTGCAATTGGGGTGGTTGTGTGGGCAGAGTGAAAGTATGGGCAGAGTGAAAGAAATGAGAAATGGGAAGTTTTCTTAAAATGAATGACCTGCGATGTCAAGGGGGTGGCAGCATATGAAGACAATTGAAACTGTAGCTGATTGAAAACTGAGTTCAGCAGCAATCAGCATGATCGCTTGATGATGATTCTCCATTGATTAGTACATACAACCTAAGAAATGTGACCGCTTGTCCAATAAGAACCGGCCTGCTAGTTCAAAAAAGACGAAAGCCTATAGTACAGATCATGGCTGAAGGATCGATTGTGCACAGTTGTTCCATCAGGAGTAAGAATGAGCAAGTTTCCGCAAGGCTTGCGCATGGAAGTTCGCTCTCATCACCTCGCCTCCTCTTCAGCATTCGGTCTTTTCTCTTTTCAGAACGACTGCAAAAAAATACTTCTGAAAGTTCAATTTCTACTAAATATTCAACGCGCGCAAAATACGCCAAAAACACCAACTCCTCGCGTGTTCCAGGAAATAACTATTCTAAAAGACTTGTTATCTACATGGAATGGGCAAAGCAAAAACCTTGCACGAAAACTCAAATTTCCCAAACCTTTACTGGATGTTTGCAATCCGGAAAGGCCGGTACAAAAACCCACGTACAGAACTCCCGCAGGATTCAGTATGGGATTTTCGTGGCGCTCAGACGTTTGATGGTCCAAGCGCACAATTCCATGTTTTCGGATTCCCTGCAAAAAGGAATCCCCCGAATAAACGGACCAAACGGACATTTGTTCGTCTGTCCAATCGGACGTGTCGAACTGCTTCGATCAAGGAGTTTCCAATGAATGGTCTCCAAGAGAGCAATTTCAACAAAGCGTATCTCCAAGAGTCGCCAAGAGTTGTCAAGAAACGAATTGCCCCAATGCAACTGACTTTGAAGAAAAGTGTTGAAATTGCTCTCTTGGAGACCATTCATTGGAAACTCCTTGATGGAAGCAGTTCGACACGTCCGATCGGACAGACGGACAAATGTCCGTTTGGTCCGTTTATTCGGGGGATTCCTATGAGTCGGTTTTTGCAGGGAATCTGAAAACATGGAATTGTGGGCTTGGACTATCAAACGTCTGAGCGCCACGAAAATCCCAGTCTGAATCCTGCGGGAGTTCTGTACGTGGGTTTTTGTACCGGCCTTTCTGGATTGCAAATGTTGGGATATGACGAAATATGAGTTTTTACGTTCCAAACGAAACTATTCAAGTACGAGGTTTTTGACACGTGCGATCGGACTTTGATCGTGCGCGATGTCGGGATTCGACGCAAGTATGCCGGACGCAAGTCTGTCGGACAATCTGTATCCACACAAACAGGAAAAGATCCTGTACAAGTGGAATATTGATGTTGTGTACGATGCAGTAGGGAATAATGCAAGATGTCCCAAAGTACTGCATTCAACACAGAATTGTCGTAGAAGTCAAATCGAGTTCTGTAAACAAGGGATTTTCCAAGGGAAAATCGTTGAACTCACTTTTGTTGAAATTGCTCTCTTGGAGACCATTCATTGGAAACTCCTTGATGGAAGCAGTTCGACACGTCCGATCGGACAGACGGACAAATGTCCGTTTGGTCCGTTTATTCGGGGGATTCCTATGAGTCGGTTTTTGCAGGGAATCTGAAAACATGGAATTGTGGGCTTGGACTATCAAACGTCTGAGCGCCACGAAAATCCCAGTCTGAATCCTGCGGGAGTTCTGTACGTGGGTTTTTGTACCGGCCTTTCTGGATTGCAAATGTTGGGATATGACGAAATATGAGTTTTTACGTTCCAAACGAAACTATTCAAGTACGAGGTTTTTGACACGTGCGATCGGACTTTGATCGTGCGCGATGTCGGGATTCGACGCAAGTATGCCGGACGCAAGTCTGTCGGACAATCTGTATCCACACAAACAGGAAAAGATCCTGTACAAGTGGAATATTGATGTTGTGTACGATGCAGTAGGGAATAATGCAAGATGTCCCAAAGTACTGCATTCAACACAGAATTGTCGTAGAAGTCAAATCGAGTTCTGTAAACAAGGGATTTTCCAAGGGAAAATCGTTGAACTCACTTTTGTTGAAATTGCTCTCTTGGAGACCATTCATTGGAAACTCCTTGATGGAAGCAGTTCGACACGTCCGATCGGACAGACGGACAAATGTCCGTTTGGTCCGTTTATTCGGGGGATTCCTATGAGTCGGTTTTTGCAGGGAATCTGAAAAC